CCCTCCCCCGCCCCCAGACCAAACGGGGCCTGGGGGTGGGAGGAGCGCGCAAAGTCTCTTGCTCCCTGCCTCCACCCTGCAAGCACTGTGCACCCCTTGCAGGGTGGAGGCAGGGAGCGAGAGACTTCACGTGCTCCCGCCCCCAGGTCCGGATTGTCCTGGGGGTGGGGAAGCATGAGAAGTTGTCTCCTGCCATGCATTGGGACAGGTGCCTAGAGGGAACTGCCAGCTGTTCTGAACAGCTGGCAGCTCTCTCTAGGAGGGGGAGGAAGGGGGCAAAGACTGCAGTGCTCCCCCACCCCTAGGCCAGTCAGGGTCTGTGGGAGGGGAGCTTGGAAGTGTCCCAGCCCCACCCCTTCCACCAGAGGCCCCGCCCCTTCTGGGGCAGCCCAGGGTCACTTCAAAAATGAGTGGTGGCCCCGCATCTAAAATGATTGCCTACCCTGATCTATGGAATGCCTCCCGCTGCTCCAAATCTGCCTGCAGGAGGATCCGGGTTTCCGCGCCTGTAGCAACACACGCAGGTTTGCTCGACCCTGAACTTTGTGTCAACGCACACGCATTCTTGCACCTGCACTTGGTGTGGGAGGCAGCAAGTTCCAGCCATTGAAGAATGAGGAGTTTGCTGCGGCTGTTTGAACTCTGCTTGCCCCTACCGCGAAACTCCTCAGCATTCGCTCCAGTGCTCACTGCACTGGAGGCTTCTGGTGGCCCAGTTCTGGGTTTTCTGCCACGAGACATTCAGCAGCACAGTGTGGAGGGTGTCTCGGAGATGTCTGTGGGCAGGGCTGAAACTCCCTGCCTCCTCACCAAACAAGGGAGGGTTGTTAGAGCCGCCTTGCTCAGCAAGCGCTTTGTCCTCCTCCTTGATTGTGCCACGTGCAGTGGCAAGCGCTGAGATCCAGACAGCAGCTCGACGCACTAGTGCTGGGATGCTGAGTGGATCGCTGCCGCACACCTGATGTTGTGTAGCAACGTGACGCAAGCCGTGAACCGCTGCGCGCTCTTGCGGTACAGCCACAGAACATGCAGAGCTCCGACTTCTTCCACAGCAAGCCAAAGTGCTGACCTGGTGACCCGTTCGAACGCTGGCGCGAATACCCGCCCTGTGAAGCCAGGGGTGAAATTCTGTCCTGCTCTTGAAGCCAGAGGCTCAGAACAGGGTCCGCTGTTGACTGTCCGGCCTCTGAAGGAGGCGCTGCCTCCCCCCAAGAAGAACACTCACCAAGCCCTGTCTGGGGACTGACAACAATGAGATCGGACGGTTGTTGCCTCGCTCCAGGACGATCCTGTGCCCTGGGGAGCTGTGGCGCCGTCCCCCAGTTCTGTAGGCGCTTTGCTTGGTGCCCCCACTTGAGATCTTGATGCAAGCTGATGCCGCCTGGTTCCAAGGCACTGTTCAGCCGCTGGAGGGCACTGGCATCCCCCAGCAGTCCGTTCCATGCTGTTTGGCTGGCCGCTCACACGATGGAGCACCAGTCTTTGTTGCTGGGTCTGCAGCTGTGAAGCTAGTCCAGCCCCAGAGCTAGATTTCATGGGGGAGCTCTGA